CGAGAACTAGGCCTAGCTATTTACAAAGAGATATGATTGACATAACAGAAAACAAAAGGGGGGGGGGGAGAAGAAGGAGGAGGAGGAGGAGGAAGAGGTTCCTTAAAACTTATTTTTCTTAACCAAAATGGAGGACTTTGAGTACTAAACCCTCTGATTTTTAATGGTGAGCCAAAAAAGTTTGAGTAGTAATGTACATTGAGTAATCGATACTAGTAACTACGAGAACTAGGCCTAGCTATTTACAAAGAGATAGAAGAAGGAGAAGGAGGAGGAGAAGAAGGAGAAGGAGGAGGAGGAGGAGGAGGAGGAGGAGGAGGAGGAGGAGGAGGAGAAGAAGAAGAAGGAGAAGAAGAAGAAGAAGAAGAAGAAGAAAAAGAAGAAGAAGAAGAAGAAGAAGAAAAAGAAGAAAAAGAAGAAAAAGAAGAAGAAGAAGAAGAAGAGGAGGAAGAAGAAGAAGAAGAGGAAGAAGAAGAAGAAGAAGAAGAAGAAGAGAAGAAATTTGCCGGCAGGATAGCAATCTAGTTCATTTTTCTTGCAGGTGCATTTCATTGAACTGCAGTCTAATTTACATACATATCTCACAGTTTTGGAGAAGTACGTGTGACATTGATTTCTTGTCCATTTGATTTGAAAAGTGAAAAATGGTATCTGAATGAGCACTGATATATTTCAAGAAACTCTCTTAAAGAAAGAATGATACTCTGTTGTATCCCAATCTTTGCGCTCCCAGAGGCTTCCCTATATAGAACCACCTGGAATGTGATGGAGTTTTACACTGATGACCGGGGGTATGAACGTTTTCTTCAGTTGAGTATGTGTGAGCGCTGCTGTAATCCCCATGCCATGAATGTCCTTTCTTCATCTGGAGTCCTTATATTGTAATCAAAGTTGAATGCCTCAAACTTGAGGAGAAGTGGCTATTGAAAAATACTCAGATTTCTTCTAGGAAGGGAGCAATCATAGATCTCGGTCAGCTGGCAACTATTTTCATACGTGGATTGTAGTGCATATTGACAGTTTCAAGAAACAGCACAAAGAGGCCACCAAGTTAGCGCGTTTTCTTCTCCATAAATACTGTATATCCAATTAGATTTACTGATGGATAGACTTCTTTTTCTCAAATGTAGATTTTTGATCAACTGACGAGCTGCCTAGACAATTTGCTTCTGCCTGGCATCCTACTTAAAGCCCTTTGGTGTTTCATAAAATTCTCGCATTCGTATAATTGAAGAAGCCGATTACTGAAATGTAACAACAACTACTCCCCATCAACCTCCGCTACTCATTATGTTATGCTTTCCCTTGCACCCATCAGTTTTTCTTTTTAGGGTACTGTGGTCCATAATATAATGTTCTGTGCCCTTCACCTCATGCAGATGGTCTTCCAAAACAGTCATCAGATTCCGAATATTAATCTGCTCAAATTAATTTGCCTTCAGACAGGATACAACATAATGAACGGCATATATCTTTAAAACATCTTGAGGCCTCAATAATGTCCTTATTTTTTTTTTTAGATGCAACTTCTAATGTAACAGAACATGGACGCTGCTTGAAAATTTTGAAGTCGCAACCGAATAAAAACAACAAAGAATAGTCGTTGTTCATTCGTACTTTCTTTATTGTGTCCTGACTTCGGGTCTCGGTTCACACGCAAATGACATTATAGGTCTCTATGACTTTGACTGCAAAGTTTTCTTTTCAAACCTTAAACAATCAGCGGGTACTAAATAGGAACTCTTGGAGACTTGACCGAAGTTTGCGTTTCAGACTGTTAATCTTCCTGGACTGTGACTTGTCTGTCTATGTTTTGCAAAAACAGATTTTGCTCTTATTTAAGATTGCTGACACAAAATGCGCATTTGGTGCCCTTCAGTCCCATCTTTATTGTTCTTTCTATGTTGTACAACGATCTATACATCTATATTGTTCTTTCTATGTTGTACAACAGCCAGAATAATATTCCCACCTTGTTATGTCAATTGCACAAGAGGAAATTCTTTAGAGGGAAATTACATGGTAAACAATAAATATCCACTGAAAGGCTGAGGATGTGAGAAAACGTATTCTTAATATATTGGCTTACCATACTTTTTACTTAAAAAGCGTGGATACCGATGATGATTACATCATTTTCATGAAAATCCGTACAAATTACGTAAAAATTCTCGCATCAAAGCAAGTATGATAAACCAATTTGGTCGTAATGTAAATTTTGCTTTTTTGACAACTTTTAACGTTTTTTAAAACAATTTCCTCCACGATTTTGAAAGCCAATTTTTAATATGTTATTACACACAATTTTATCTGTCGAACCATACACTTTTCATTTTCGTTGCAATTTTTTTAGGGTCTACCCTTATCTTTCTTCCACTAATAGAAAACGGTGGAAAGTTTTTGTTCATGGCCTATATCTGTCCTCAAAGAAATTCGCGCTTGCACCCGTAACTTGCGCGCGCAACTTTTGCCCTCAGCGCAGTCGTGAGTTCGTGAAAGTTAACCAATTTTCCGAAAAAGTTGGAAATATAATCATACAATTTTATTTTAAATAACCGAAACTTTCTTCCATGACGAAAAAATAACAACGGCAAGGGGGACAATTCATACCTGAAATAGGCTAGATCTACCCCTTCCTTTGTACAGAGAGCCCAGTACCCATTGTGGATGGGATCGGGTCGGGTCAGGTCGGGATGATCCCCCGACTCGTCGCCTGAAAACATACGCCTTTGTTTTTAAGGCAATGAGTCGAGCGCGATTGCCTTGTGCCACGATAGCATCACCCAATGGATAGGTTCATTCCTCAGGGACAGATACGCCTGCATCGAGCACGGCAACGCAACAAGCAGGCTACGTCGTTTCGAGCAGAGAGTCCCCCAGGGCAGCGTTCTGTCCCCCACACTGTTCCTTGTCTTCATTGATGATATTGAAGCAGGCCTGCCTGAAACCGTGAAAATCTATACTGATGACTATACCATATACGCCACCAACGAAGACATAAATCAGGCTGAAAACAGTGTCCAAGCAGCCATAAACTCCCTTGAGCAGTGGGTAAAGCAAAACAAGATGGAGATCAGTAGGGAGAAAACAGAGTGCACCCTCTTCACTACCAGCACTCACAAGGCCAAGCGAAAACCAGCATTCTTGCTCAAGGGCTCCCCCATCACCTTCAACTCCAACCCCACCTTACTTGGGGTCACACTTGACCGTATTCTATCCTCCAACGCCCACATCCAAAACCTTGAGCTTAAAACTGTAAAGCAGACTTCGACCATTGAAAGCCCTTACAGGCACCACCTGAGGATGCCTTAAGGGAATGCATAAAACCAATTTATTATGCTAGTGCCCCTGCCTACATGCCTCTTGCCAAACCCTCCAACCTGCAGAAACTGGAAACAAAGTAGAATGAAGCAGCAAGAATCATCACCGGCTGCTCAAAGGATACTCGTGTGCACAGCCTCCTCATTGTAGCAGACATTCTACTACTAAGGCATAGAGCTGATTCCTTGGCTGCTATTTCACTCAAGAAGTCCATGCGTCTGCCTGCAACGAATCAACGCAGAGCCTCCGTAACAAAATCAGTGCCCGTGCGGACAGGCAAGTCGAACTGGAGAAAGCATGCCCAGAACCTCATAGCTGAAACTGACCTGGATATATACCCAAGTGAGGAGCTGGTTGTTTTACCCCCTACACAACCGTGGAAGGCTGCATCAAGCATGCTAATGAACCAGCTGTCAGGAAAGCAGCAGCAGAGGCTACCATTTGATCGCTCCCCCTGCCCGATGTAGAAGTCTGGACTGACGGTTCAGCTAAACATGGTACAGAGTATGGAGGCAGTGGAATACCGATCAAGACTGGTGATACCGAACTCGACCACCGTGTACCCGCAGGCCGGTATTGTTAAAGTTACAGGGCTGAGCTTGTAGCTCTCAACACAGCGCTGAGCATGCTCTTTTCACTACGTACAGAAGGCAGCCTTCCAAACAGTGTAGTGTAGGCATCCATGTATACGCTGATTCCAGGTCAGCAGTCATGCGCCTCTCATACGGCCCTACCAACAAATCGGAAAAGGTGGCCTGCTCAATCTGGCAGTGTCTGCACACCCTCAGTCAACCCTCCGAATGTTCCATCCACTTACAGTGGATACCAGGCCACTCTGGACTGGCTGGGAACGAGGAAGTTGGCAACATCACCAAAGAAGACACGCCAGATATCAATCAATTTCTCAACAGCTAAAGCCGTCATCCACTGGTCGATCCGCACAAAGTGGAAAAGAGAGGCGAAACCCAAACTGCCGTCTGCCCAGCCGCTTACAATTTTAGAGAAGAATATTTTTTCGTCGCTGTCAGGTTTCAAACCTGGGACCTATAGAATGAGAGACAAACACTGCATCTCTAGACTGCGAGAGCTCCCACTACAGCCATCTAACCCATATCATAATCATTCATGGACTCTGACAATAATTGCCAGGCACCTACCAACAGCTGCTTGATCTGAGGACAACTGCACATAAAACCTACCAAGGCCTAAAGTGTCTTTGTCTACACTGCTGAAAATCAGAATTATGACTGAGTCCACTCCCAGTACTCATTCACTAGACTAGTTTTGTAATGTTTATATGATAATGGTGGTATGGAATTTACGTATGCCACTTTTAATAATGTAAAGGCGATTAAGAGGCAATGTATCACAATTAAACATCCGTCTCCATTTCTTAAAATCACTTCACCACCTAATTTTGTTTAATCAGTAAAAATATAACATCAAACACAACCATAATAATAACAAAGACCACGATGATAGTAGTACAAGTACAAGAGAACTATGAAGGAAAAAAAAACAACAAATGGATAACTGTAGAGCCCCAGCTGTGCATTATTCAAAATCCCATCTCATTCTGTGTCTTCCAGAAGCTCATTCAAGACACCGCACTCCTTAACTCCCCCACCCCTCTCCTCTCTTCCTCCCCCATCCCCGACTTCTCCCACAATTCTACTCACCACGGTCATATTTAGATCCTTCTCGGGGATTTAGCTTTTTGGCCTGAGGGTCGTGAGGATCATGTGTGAAGTTTTCAATATCCACAATGACACATAGTCCTGGGAACAAACAACAGGTAGTTTAAGTACCTGTTAAAAAGAAGCACTTCAAGACAATAACGCTCGCTTAATGCTTAGACAAAAATAAAGGAGATATACAAAACAAAAACAACGGAGGTAAAGAGATAGCAAAGAACTAAAATCTCCTAATGATTCCCTCCAACCACTAACCGCTATAGCATAGCTAGATATTATACAGATGTGAGCGGGTGCAACAGTTGAAGACACAGAGATGAGATTATGAGTATGAACAATAGGTGGATAGATGATAAACACAGACTTCACAACAAACAACAGTTAGATGACACAAGAGAGAAAGCGAGAGGGGAGACAAATGAAAGGGAGAGGGAGGGAGGGAGGGAGGGAGAGAGAGAGAGAGAGAGAGAGAGAGAGAGAGAGAGAGAGAGAGAGAGAGAAGTTTTAGGGCCCCATCAATGATAATAATAATAATAACAATAACAATAATATAATTGCATGTATAGCACATAACCAAGCTCTACAGCATTCTCTGTGCGCTTTACAACTATTACTAACAAATATAATTCACATCATATATGAGATGGGCTGCTCTGATCCTGCCTGTCAGGGCCAACCCAAGCTGAATCAGACACAGTATCTAAACAAAGATCGGGATATCCAGGAAAATAAGTCTCCCACTCAAGAACAAAAATCATGTCTTCTATGTAAAACAGCAAAAAGTACAAACATTTAATCACCAAATATTTCTCTCAGAGAGTAAAAGACACTGCATTGGTTGAGGGATGTAGTTGTGAATTTTGCCACATTTTGTAAGCAGAAGTGCATATTCAGGAAACTGTTGCTGGACAGTGCACCAGGTTTGTTTTTTTTAAACATATAAAAATGAATCTTGTTTTGAGCCTAGAACCAGAATATCGACTGTAATGATTCATATCATATATATAGGCCTATATACTAAACGCGAAAGACAAAAATTAATGCTCAAACTCAAAGTAGAGTAGAATAGCTCAAGTAGACCTATTCAGTGTGAGAGGTGTAAGAACTGTGGGAGGGCAAGATGCAGTGATACTGAAAATCTGCAAATCTTAAACAGAAAGCTAAAATATAGAGATCTAATTTTACTGTCACCAATCCAACGAAACGCGAACACTTAGGCCCCTAAGTTCCATAACACGCTTACAAGTTATGACGGTTCCCGATTTCACACAAGGCTTGCACCAACGCACACTTTACATTGCAGAGAGCTGTAGTAGTAATCAAAATTCTAAACATTAATCATTTGCTTCCAGTTTCAGTTTTGTTGTCCTCTGGTGTTGCATCCAGCCCTCCCCCTATCCCTGAGTGTGTCTTTACAAAAAAATCAATAATCTCCCCCCATTCCCGAGTCCTGTACTTCGCAGCACTCAGAACGCGCGCAGGCTCATTGACCGGTCACAATGACGAGCCCGACAAGACACTAGTATAACTTTCTTTTCTTTATTTTTTTCTGGGTGGTAACGAAAGCGAAAGTAGATCTTGATTTTCCAGTCAAGCCTTGGTGACACAATTCCGCTAGCCACCAAAGCCACCAGTTCGCGTGAAACTTACTCTCAGAGCCGAATTAATATCACAATCGCGACCAGCAGAAATGAACTTAAAGACGAGATCTTTTATGTATTTTCGCGGGTCTCAGCAATTATTTTTAAATTCCCGTGGCCTGGCAGTCACCCTGCTCCCAGCAACTCTCTTTCTGATTTGCCTGCTGTCGCGGTAGCAGAGTTTAGCGAAAGAAACGGCGATAGCGGAAATCCGTTAAATAGCGGACTATTGAGACCCATATTTTCTAAAAATAGACAAGGAGACAATTGAGAAAGTCTTTACTCTCATCGTAAATTGCCTTTGAAAACATAAGGATATCTTAAAATATAGTGAATTTTCACAATAATTGTCATTTTTCTCAAAATGTCATTTTTTGCAGTTTTTCCCGTACTCCTTCCTTAATTTTCATCCTTTTGACATGAAACTTTCAGGAAACATAAATGTCAAGGCTGCCATCAATGTAACAGAGAGATATTTGCACACAAAAAACACTTTTCCATTTGGCAAGCGATTACCCAATCAAAATATAGAAAAGGTCTATATACACTGGGAAAAATTCTCATATTTTTTTCTTTTACATTAATTTAAAAAGCTCCGTTGATAGGGACTTGTTCAGGTATACTTTCACCAAATGTGGTCAAATTTGGTGGGTAAATAACAAAGTCTTAGGAATTAGAAAGTCATTGTTAATTTTCAAGATGGCAGCCGTTTCCATAGCAACCGCTGTAGCTACGCAAAAATATTTCTATGCCTAACTTATATGTGTACTTAGATTTGATCTCGGGCAATAAATATAGAAAATGGACCTTGAGGGTCACTCATCCCGTTAAGTCAGAATTATTAGAACATATATTATATATAAGAATTTCCTGCTTCTTTTCTTGGCTCCTGGCACACTGGTGAATACCTCGGGGGTCAGCCTCCATCTTGTAGTTGCCAACAGGCTTGTAGCCCTCAGGTACCCCGGTAGACGCTGTTGCCCCGACGGCCGCATCATCGATGTTAAGGAGACTAACACCCAGCTCGTTCAATGGAGGATCTGCCTCCTGGCTACTTTCTAACAATGGTTCACTGCTTCCGGTCACTGGCACAGTACTTTCTGTTACATGTTCTCCCTCAAACCTGATCCCAGTCTCGGAAGATGACTGCTGGGCCGAATCTGGGGAACGAGATAGGAGTGGCCTGGAGGTAGATCTGTATGCGGCAACATAGATGAAATTGGCTTGGATGTAAATCTGTATGTGATAACATAGATGAATTTGGACAGGAAGTAAATTTTTCTGTGATGATATAGATGAATTTGGACAGGAGATAAATATGTATGTGATATGAAAAAGGAGAGGAGGTAAATCTTCATGTGATAACATACATGAATTTAGACAGTAGGTAGATCTTTATCAGATAACAAACATGAAATAAGGACAGGAGGTAAATGTGAGGCATCATGGTGAAATCAGGCGCTCGTCAAAATAATGAAATCCGAGAAATCTGCATTTTGCGGCCAGTTTGCAAATTTTCTTTGAATTTTTGTTTTTTGACTCACCATCTTGTAAAATCCATTCAAAAACACTTTTATGTTTGGATTGTGGATTTTTTGGAAAAACGTTGATTAAAGGCACAAAAAAGAGTAAATTTGCAGTTTCCAAGGACTCTTAAGCTATGGAAGTCACCTAACTTTGGTGGCCATTTTCTTGCTAATTTTACTTCTAAAACTAGGCGACCACACCTCCCTCACCTGCAAATATCTCGACTTCTATTAAAGATAAATGGATACTTTTTTCATCGAAAGCAAGGCAAATGAACATTCTTTAAGATAACACCAATACCTCCATATGCCTAAAAATTTATGAACGCCTGATCCTGCTGCGTCATGACACAAATGTTTATGTGATGACATAGATGACTTTGGACAGGAGGTAAATGTTTATGTGATGACATAGATTAGATGTATTGGACAAGATGTAGATCTTTTATTAATAATGCGGATAAAGTTGGGACTGCAGGTAAATGAAAATCTTTAATCTGTATGTGACAATGCGAATGAGATAGCACAGGAAGTTCACCACTTCGTGACATCACCAATGAGAATAAAAGATGACAAATGTGATAGGAAACGAGCAAACCACATAAGAGCACCCACAGACCACCCTTCTGAACCCTTCTGTGACAGTACAGGTGAGAGTGAGCAGCTGGCTAACTCTTTTTTTAAGTTTTGGTACTAGTTTTACAGCACTTGCAACCCAATAAGGTCATATAAGTGCCAAACATTAGGGGTGTTACTAGAGAGTAACGAACAAAAAAAATAAGGACAAAATATGTTTGATAGGAAAGGAGCAAACCGCACCAGACCACCTGCAAACCACCCACCTGGATAGTTTTTTACTTCGGTTCATTAGAATGTGCAATTGAAGAAACCATTTTCCAGTTTCCCAAGGTACATTAACGTAAATAGGGTGAACTACAATAATCCAATTCATGATGAGATAAAAACTGACAACATCACATAGTGGTACACTCCAGAGAAGCTTATTTTACAAGAGATGAACATCACAATCTGTCTTTTCAAATTCAAAACTTGATTTAATTTGAGAAACTATTTTAGCATGTTCCCTTTGTCTCGTAGAAAACCCTCTTTTGCACATGATTTAGAGTACTGTACTCGTTTTAAAAATGTGGAAACTTTGTGTGGAAACTCTTAGCCAGCCACTTTGCAACTTTAGTCAGGACAACCATCATACCTTACAAACTTACTTGCCAGAGTAATTTGGTAAAGATTTACACACCAGCACAACTTATTCAATATCTACACACAAGCGTAACCCATACTTATCTGCACAAAAGCCTTATTCAAACATATCAAAACAAAAACCTTATTCGTACAGATTTATGCACTAGTGTAACTCATACAGGTTTAACTTCCAAGTTAACCTCCTCACATTTTCACACCAGCACTACTTCTGCACACACACCTATGCTAATCACTCAAAATACACATCAACATTACTTATGCAGATATAAACATCCTCATTATTTACTAAGAAATACACACTCATGCTACTTACTCAGATATACACACCATGATAATTTACTCAGATATACACACCATGATAACTTACTCAGATATACACACCATGATTACTTACTCAGATATACACACCATGATTACTTACTCAGATATACACATCATGATTACCTACTCAGATATACACACCATGATTACTTACTCAGATATACACATCATGATTACCTACTCAGATATACACACCATGATTACTTACTCAGATATACACATCATGATTACTTACTCAGATATACACACCATGATTACTTACTCAGATATACACACCATGATATACACACCCAAGTTACTTACTCAGATATACACACTATACTTACTTTCTCAAATAAACACACCTCATTACTTACTCAAATATACAAACCATCATTACTTACTCAAATTTGCTGAGTTATTGTAGTTTCCTGAATGCTGAATTTCAGAGAGCAGACGCAAAACCGAATTTTGATAACCAGAAGGTTTCAGTTGTTCTGAACACTCCCCGGGCCCTGGTTGGGGAAAGTTGAGCGAGGTCATGGGACTATGAGGCGTATTCAAACCCAAAACATTACAGTTGGTCTCCCATGAGGAAGTAGCACCACCTTGCCAAGGAGAGACGGAAGGGAAGACATCAGACGGAGCATGTCACTTTGGTAAGAAAAGTCATGAATTATGATCAGGGTTCTTGCTGTGCATGGTCAAGACAGAAAAATTCTGTCAAGGGAGTACTAACTTGTCGTGAACCATCTTTGCAAGCAAAAGTTACGAAGAGCAGCAAAAGGCTTCCTTTCACAAAACAAAAACCAAGCAAAACAAATAAATACACATGTAATATTGGCGCTGTGGAATCAGGCACTCGTCAATTTTTGGACAACTCGAGTTATCGTTATCATCTTAAAGCTAGTTCATTTGATCACCTTGGGATGAAAAAAATACACGCTTATCTTGAATAGAAGTCGAAATATTTGCGATTGAAGGAGGTCGGGGTCACCTGGTTTCAGAGGTAAAATTAGCGAGAAAACGGGCGCCAAAGTTTGGTGATGTCCAAAGCTTGATAGTCCTTGGAAACTGAAAATTTACATTTGTTGTGCCTTTAATAAATGATTTTCAGTAAAATCCACAATAAAATGTGTTTTTAAATGGACACAAACGGTGTTGAGACAAAAAAAAAATTAGAAAAAAATTATCAAACTGGAAAGAACATGCCAATATCTTCGATTTCATTATTTTGACGAGCGCCTGATTTCACCACGATGCCTCAAATATTTATTTTTTTTTAATGGTTCTATTAACATTTTTTTTTTTCTGAAGCGGGAGTAGTCCAACTTTTAGAGATAAGCTGTACTACCCACATCAAATACAGATCAGACTTCATACATACCACACAGATTCAGTCTTGGATTTTGTATTTCTCGATAACCTTCCACTGTTCCCAACCCGCAGGCCAAAATATTTCCCACCATGTGAGTGATCTGGCCCACTGGACCTTGATACCCACTGATTCCAACAATAGTTAAGTATTGTCCTTTCTACTCACTGTTGTCTTGTCTCCCTCTCTACTTTCATCTGTCTCTCATTCTTTCTCGCACCGTGTATGTCTCTCCTTCCCAATTGTCTTTCACCTATCTTTCCTTCTTATTCCAACTGTCTGTCTCTCCTTCCCACTAACACTGCACAAATCTTTCCTTCTTATTCCTACTGTGTCTGTCTTTCCTTCCCCTTCACACTGTACACGTGTCAGCTTCCTTGTCACTCCTTCCCATTCGCACTGTGCCTGTATCTCACTCTCACCCATTAGTACTATCATAAGTATCTTACAAGGTGAGAAAATCATCTTACATGCTCACATGTGAGGAAAAAAAAAGACACTAATTTTAAAGGAAGTGTCACCATTCTCGCCCTTCACATCTACCAATAAATCTGTATTAATGCTGAGCACATCAAGCCCACCTCTGAACCCTTCACGTCCATCCCAACATATGTGTGTATGTCTGGAGAAAGGTCCTAGTTGTCAGCAAAGCTGAGCAACGGAGTGAAAAGGCCAAAACATTTGACATGGTAAAAAATTTAGTTCCATCAGAAAACACATGTTTAACCATTTCTTAATCACAGACTGAAAGGATTTTATAATACTTTAAGGCTTAATATTTTTTACTAGTTATTTTTGCAGCATGTTGTACTTCATAAAAGGATAAAAATGTGCTAGAAATTGGGGTTTTCTCCAAAATTCGTTTTTCTATGTTACAAAACGTGGCATATCTTTCAAACTACTCAAGATACAGTAAAACCCAGATAGGTCGAACACAGATTACTCAAAATCACCCATCGGTTGAACTGTGCCTGCGTTCCCGGGTTTTTTTTTCTTCTTCTTTATCTTAGTAAGAATTACGGGAAGCTCGAACACAAACACGGAATATTCAAACTAATTACGCCACGGTAGAGGTCTAAAGTCAATGTCCTTTGAGGTGCACTTGAGACAAAATAATGTTTCAATAATAATAAAAACGGAAAAAGGCAAGGTCGGTAAAATACCCTCCCCCCCTCCACCGAAGCTATTTTTAGCGTGCTGCTTGACACTTATGAAGCCTCAAGCAAAATTCAAAGAAAAATGAGGCAGTTGTAGTTGCAAATGCTCTATACCTCCATCTACTCTATGTACATAGTTAGGAGTCTAGTTGTGTCAAACCTATCTGCCGAGGCTAACCCAGGCCATGTGGGATACACCATAGTAGAAGAATGAAAATATTTGATTAACTATTTTCCCAATATGAGAATCAAAATCACATTCTTCAGCTGCAAGGCCTAGCACCTAATCTTTACACCACAGATGCCAGTAGAATTTCTGACTTGAGATAGAAGAAGAGATAAAACTTACTTGTGCAAATCGGAGGCAATAATTCCGCCCTTGTTACTACTGGCTCTCCGGTAGAGGCATTCTCTGGTTCATCATACATTGACTCCACGGTCGGGGGTCGGTCATCGTAAGTCTAGTATCAGGAAAGAAAGGACACACAGCACCCATTTAACTGACGAGACTTTAACTACTCCGTAAATGTGAAATCTATTGTTTATGTCGTTGTTCTTCTTGTTGTGGTAAATCATAGTTGAAAAATAGTCTAGCAACTGCACAGTTAGCCTCTGCTCTTCAGCCTAGCCAAAGAAGCCAGGGGTATTTATAATTAACAAGTTATTCTCACCAAAAGTAGAGCCAACATAAAAGCCCACATGAACATCTTTTTTAAAACTACTCTATTTCAAAGACAAAAAGGAAGGAAGATGAAATGGATAAGGAATAAACACAACAAAAAAAGGAAGAAGAACAAAATGGAAAAAGGGGAGAACAAGACAAGAACTGATGTGACAAGAAAGGAGAGGATGGAGGAAAAGAACAAAAAAGAATTGGTGTCAAGATAAGGGATGGTGAATCAAGGAGAGAATAAGGGCCTGGTCTCTCATGTTGGTTACCTCCTCCTGAGCTTGAGTGAGTGCCTGCCTCGCCTGCCACATATACTGCCCTCTTTGTACATGCTGATCTGGAAATGTACAGAAATTCGCACTTATACAAAGAAGACAAAATATCTTATCTTTCAGGAAAAAAGAATTAGGTACTCGTAAAAACATTTTCAAAAATGTCTCTGATCTGAACAAGGCTATGTAATACACACAACATATATATTATATATATATATATATATATTATACATATATATATATATATATATATATTATACATATATATATCTATATATATATATATATATATATATATATATATATATATATATATATATATATATATATATATATATATATATGTAGAAACATTGGTTTCACAGAATCAATTTGATTTACCATATTTATATATCCTTTGAAAAATCTTCTCCTGAGGAAATGTGAACATCTTTGCCTCATAGCCTATAACGGTCTGGCTTTCAACCATAGCAGATGCTGATGAAAATTTTACAGAATCAAAGTTCAATCTTCACATTTATTTTCATTGAATTTCATCGGACTTTAATTTTAAAAAGGTCAACAGTTACTGCGCACAAGCACAGGAAAAGCAAAGGACAACATACCTTGAAAGGATTGCAGGCTATTCACTAAGTCTGTTCTCTCAATGGAAGAGAATATATCTGTCAGTGCGGTCAGACTGGATGGTTTTAGGTCTCCTCGTTGCATCATAAACTTGAAAAGATCAATCCCATCCCCAATCTTAGTCTTTTTTGGTACCTTGTTATAGATGAACCTGATCAAAGTCAAGAGAAATTGACATCAGTAAATCTAGGTCTCCTTCCAAACACAGAGCAGTTACATGGATGGTTACCAAGAGTTATGGCAGAAATTTCAAATCTGCTGTATTTCCTGTTTATCTAGGAAGTCTCATTTACTCACTAAGTATTTTTATTCTCTCCTTCTTTTCAATGTATTTTTCAAAGGCATGCACCATAACCTTTAGAATGTAACTGAATACTATTGTGCTGTTAGAACAGCTTCAAATCCACATATATTTTACTGAAAAACGTTGATTAAAGGTACAAAAAATGTAATTTTAAAGTTTCCAAGGACTCTCAATCTTTGGAAGTCATCATACTCTGGCAGCAATTTTCTCTCTAATTTTACTTCTGAAACCAGGTGACCACCACCTCCATCAAACACAAATATCTCGACTTCTATTGAAGATAGCGACCAGCGCCTGATTCCACCGCGTCATGACAACATAGAATTCCTTCAAAATCAGAAGGCGACTGCCTGAAAGCAACGGGCCCACTTAAGTAGGAAAAACGCTAAACGGTCACAAGTGTAAAAATCAGTTACATTGCAGGTTGAAGAACCAACATTCAACTACCCCTGAGATTTAGCAGCGAAAGTAAAAAAGAAGACGAGAGGATTAATGTTGAACAGTATTTCTAGATATTCATTCAAAACTTTATGACATGTCCACTTTCAAAACTGCACATACACAGCTACAATCAATTCACTTAGTCTTCTCCTAAGTCTGGTACATATAATATTTTTCCTCTGAAACTGGGGATACGATACAAAATATTGTAGTATCTCACCTGAGCCTGTTGAGATCTTCATCGGGCAGGTTCTCACTGATTTCCGCCAGTGTTGCCCGGAAGGGACAGATCATGGATGTCTGCACCATTGGTCCATGGTATGTTGTTGCACTGTCAGTCCGGATGTCTTCCAAGAGGTCATAACGCTGGATTATCTGCAAGGCCTCAGAGATCACGGTCATATTACTAGCAGACAACATACGACGTCCTTCCAATGCCTCAAAAATGCTCATAGGAGAGTCATCCTTTACTGATCTCCCAATCAACGGCTCACACAAAAACTTGAAAATCTTGCAATCCGTCTTATGAAGTCCATCATCAATATAGGCAAGTCGCTTTCGATATTCAAGATCCATGCTGAGAGCCAGTTCGTTCAGTCAGTCTTTTTAAGTTGTAACTGGCGTGTTGAGTAACATAGGTCCAAACTTGCCCTTGGTCTATTTAGAATGCATTTAGATATGTCATAACTTTGCCTTCCGGATCAAGCACCAGGAACGCAGGAACCAGATGCTGTTGAAGACAAACAATTTAAATATTTGGTCATTAAGTAATGTAACTGCAAAGTGCATTGGGTATTTATAGAGTAAAAACCTGCATTATTTCCACTCTCTATACATACTATTCACAGATTTACTTAATATTATCATTATGGTTGTTCATCACCCTAAAGTTAAAGCGAAGTAGAAAAATCATGATTCATCTTCACAGAGCAATCTGAGTTTAAATCTATTCATCTGTCATGCTTTAATTTACTTCTGGGGGTTAAAACTATAGCCTACATGTTAACATAGGTGGGCAAACTTTAATGTAAAAAAAACCCAAAAAACAATCACTTGTAACTGTGCCATCCCCGGAAATTATACAGTGGAACTCGGATTTAACGAAAACTCGGATTCAACAAGAGGAGATGGATTCTCCCGTTTATTTCTTCTTTAAAATCAATAACAATAACCCAGATTCAACGAACACTTAAACCAGCAAGCTCAGATTCAACGAGGTCGCTTCCAGGGTGAACAGCCCCTGCAGACGTGGCTTCGCTCATTTTTCTCCCTCAACGAACTTTATCTATTCCCGGAAACCATCCATTGCATCTGTATCGTGAACCATTATTCACTTAGCCGATTGCATGCGATCAATCAGCGGTCTTCTTCCACACCAACACATGCGTTGTTGGCACACGCACATGTCCACTCTAGCATGTACGTGTGTCAGGGTCGGATGGGCGGCCTGCACACATGTGACTGTGTGTGCGTGTCCGGAGGGGGAGGCACCAGTGGTGCAGGCGTGGAACGTAGCAGATACAAAAGCTTTACAGTCTTTCTCCCCTGGCAACTGATCAATATTACAATGATAAGCTAATCTTGACGTAGATCTACGTAATGAATTGAGCAATGGTCTATGGAATCAAAAGTTGCCGTATGCTAGGCTCTACACAGCAACACAACTAATTTTTGGCAAACAATCGAGATGACACAGGCTCATAATATCATGCAGGTATTTCAGGCAACACTTTTTACTTCTCTTTACACATTACTTGCTCAGTGCCTGTAATTATCTACACAAAACCTCATGCTTGCTCTAACGAACACTCGGATTCAACGAGATTTTAGGTCAGGCCTGGAGACCTTGTTAAATCCGAGTTCCACTGTACATTGTTGTAGAATTAAAGGTGGCCTATACCCAAATTAAAATGGTACTTGTACATCACATGCCTTGTACATCACATGCCGTTATTTCCTGTCTGTGACATCAATTTATACTAGATCTAGATCTAAGTAAGGCCACCTATATTCTACCCTTGATGAGAATATAAACCCGTTAAAGATCTAGATCTAGTGTAGCAATTATTGTTATTTTTTTCGCAGCGGCTACATTCGCTGCTTGTTTTGTTTGTTTTATTATGAGTTCTACGGCGCTAGCAACTGCATAAGGTCATAGGAGCGCACGAAACACAAGTTGGTTGCATTCACGACAGTTCACTGCACGCTGAGCTCGGGTCAACAATCAGATTTTTAAAAGTTAAAATATCCAAATTCGGTGTAAATACCTTTTCTTTATTTAAAATAATTTTTTTAACTCCTTTGCTACGAAAGTGTCTCCCGTATGCCAAGCCGCCCTCGACAGCTCGAGAACCGACCTATAATTCTAGCATAGATTTTATTCCAATCTACGTATCCATGTTAAAATAAAGGTAATAATATAACATTGACTTCTGGGTCAAGCGTTTCCACCGAAAATCGGAAGTTTACATTCAGTTTTGAAACGCGATTTCGTAGTTTAAGCGACTTTGTTTTATCACGATGCCAAAATTATAGCCCAGACACCAGTCTTAGTACTTTTACACAAGTAAAGTGTATCATTATTTTGCTGACTAAAGAAATGTAGGACTCTTCTTTATAATCTAAATTGTCAACAAAAAAATTCTCCCAAAAATCACTACTTTTGGGTGAAATTACACAAAAAGCGCCTCTCAAGGCATGTATAGATTTATTAAAAAATGCAATTCTGAATAATTCCATACTAATGTTTTTTTCTGTGTGTGATCCTTTTTCAGGATGTTACGATCCAAACATACAAATTTTGTGGAACTGCAAATTTTTCAATATATTCCTGTTCTATATTCATTTAAGGTTATTTTGATGTATCATTTGACTAGGTGCAAACATCTTTTTTGAGTTTCACCAAAGATTATTAATTTTTTATTTTCAAATTTTATCCGCATTCAATCAAAATTGTGTTGCATAATCGCCTCTTACAGGAACCAAAGTTGAAAAATACACAAATAAACAATACAGATGTATTCTACAAACCATACTGAAAATTTTGGTACATAATATGTTGATATTTATTTGAATTTGTGGCCCCAAAGACCTTTTAACTGCGCACCAGTCATCATCATTTCACCCTCCCGAAAAAAATTTGTCCAGAAGCTGAAAATAATTCGTAGTGAATGAGTTAAATGACATAAAAATGTTTAACAATTTTATTTCATTTTACAATTTCCCATAAAGGCCAACCGCCTTCATAAAATCCAGAATTCTGTTGGGATCAACGACAGAAAACAGATCTTGCAATTTTTTGCATCTAAAATATTTCTTTTGGGTCTCTCCGAAGTCTAGACATTCGGTTAAAATGTGTCTAATGGTAAAATCTGTGTCGCATCCGAGACAGAACGGCTGCTCATCTCCCTAAAGGAGGTATTTATGTGTTAAGGCCGTGTTTCCGATGCGTAATTGAATAAAAATGACTTCGTCTCTTCTGGAGAGGTCCGAAGAATTTCGCGGTCCCAGTTTGAGCTTAATGTTGTAAAGTTTATTGTTTGTTTGTTTTTTCAAATGAGTCTCCCACAGACTGGAGATGTAGTTTTTTATTTTATTTTTAAAGTCAGTCTGTGGGAGAGTGTTCGTCGTTGATCCCAACAGAAGGGATAAGGATTCCTTCGCCAGGTAATCTACTTGCTCGTTTCCTCGGATGCCGACATGATATTTTTCCCGGTTTCAGTCAAGGTACATATTTTTTGTTGTAGCCGAACTATTTTTGGGTGTAGGAGCGTGCATTTTTTAAGTGAGGTGATGCAAGACACAGTCAGATAGGATAAGGAAAGATTTGTTAGGAGAATTTTCTAGGGAGTTCAGTGCAATGTCAATGAGTCAATGGCAGTGGGCTCCGCAGAGAAAATGGAGGCTTGGGGATGGAGTCTCCTCTGGTGTGTACTGTTTGGAGATAGGGCTGGGGCACCCACAGCGGAGTCCGATTTGGAGCCATCTGTGAAGATTAGGTTCGCACCGGGGTATTTTTCTATAAAAGTTTTTTTTATTCTGTTTTAAATGTTTTGGTGTTTATGCTTGCTTTGTTGTGTGTGGTCAGCTGTAAGTCTATTTTTGTCTTGGTCAGGTGCCACGGAGGTAGGTCTAGGAAAAGAAATTGTTCCATATTTTGTTTGGAAAAGTATGTTTTTGAGGTCCTCAAGGACTCTGAGGCCGAAGGGTTTGATAAGTTTTTTGTTGTCTTGGAATTTGTTTATGGTGTTTGGGTTTGTTTTGAAAATGCAGTCATGTGCTGGATTCTCTGGTGTTGAGCTGTTTAATTGCTTATTGTAGTGAGAGTTGTGTGCGTCAGAGTGCGAGTGATGGTATGTTTGCCTCGGCCTGGAGGCACTCCACTAGAGAAGTGCAGAAAGCCCCCCAGAGCGAGGCGGAGTTTTTGGTTTTGCACTGGGTCTACCATTTTAAAGACGTGTGTGGTTTTGCCGATCCATAAACTTGACAGCCATAGTCAAGCCTGGATCGGACGGAGATGTACAAGTGGAGAAAGTGTTTTGAGTCCCCGCCCCCACACCGGATGCGATAGAATTTTCAAAGCATTTATAATGCTTTTTGGAACCTCACACGAAGGTCTTTGATGTGTGGTATGAGTGTGAGGTTTTTTTTAGAATATAACGCCGAGGAAACAGGCCTGGTTCTAGACGGGAATCCTTTCCCCGTATAGCGTCAATTCCGGCTGCAGTACATGTCTGCCTGATTGGAAGAAGTGCACTCCAACCGTCTTTGACGGGGAAAACTTGAAACCGTTATTATTCGCCCACTTTTCAAGTTTGTGCAGCTGCCTTTCCATAGATCTTAGTAGAGGGTTTTTTGAACGGCAGCATATCAAGAAGTCGTCAACGTATAACAAGTTGTCTATGCTACATTCACGGTGCTGCGAGAGAACAAATGTAGTTGGCAGGTTGCGCTCATGGTGCCATGAATACAGTTTGCAGGCGCTGTCAAGGATCACAGCTTCGTTTCCCTTCATCTCATGGGATGGAACGCTTGAAGCCTGCCAAAGTATTAAAAATACGTCACTACCGTCACTGACTAAAACCGGCCGACTTAAATCTGCAGTGGACGCTCCCCCAAAACGAAACTTTAGTGCCGTGAACGTAACATCAACAGCGCCTGCAAACTGCATTCAGGGCGCCATGAACGTAGCCTCCCAACTACATTCGCGGCAAGCCTGCAGACTACATTCATGGCGCTGTGAACGTAGCCACTGCATATTTTTTTTTCACTGTTGTTAGCTGTTCATGGTGTGAAATGGTCGGCCTTCACCCAGCCCATTGCCATTATTAAATAAACTAACGCCGGCTCTATTTCTCCGAACGTTCGGGAAAATAAACTTGAACTTTATTTCTCCGTTCCGTTCTCGAGATTTCTTGATAAGCAAATGGAGTGGCCCGTGTGTGTGTGTGTGTGTGTGTGTGTGTGTGTGTGTGTGTGTGTGTGAGTGTGGAGAGATTTTTTTAACATGAAGGATTTTAGTTTTTGCTGGGTGACTAAATGCAAAATAGGTTACCGCCAAGGTCAAGCAGTCTTGTTTTCTTGCAGCACCTTTTGAAGGCATTTTCGAATGAAGTATAGTCCGGGAACGTTGCCCCAACCACAACTAAAGTATCTGAATGCCTCCTCCCAGTCCTCACAGAATGGCAGAATGAAAGGATGACGCCTTAATCTCGCAATTAACCAAAAAAATCTCGAGATCAGAAACCGTTCGGAGAAATAGAGGGTAAATTTTTACTTTCACTACCGCACACAGATGCGCTGCTTCAGGGGTCAAACTGCTGTACAGTTGGCTGCAGATCACACACAAAGCCACTAAAACTGTCGCAAATCAATTATTTTCAAGAAAATTTCAAATCTAATTGTAAAATATCAAATCATGGGTTAAAATGGGGGAATGGCCCCCCTGTAACCCCCCAGATTTTCTTTTACCCCAGGTGGGCAGGACCCCCTGGAACCCCCCGATTGGTCCAAAGCACGTCAATCTCGATCAAGAACAATCAAATATTTCAAAAACTATTAATTTGTGACGGAAAAGAAGTTGATATTCGTGCTCAGCGCATCAATATTTAGATCTAGATTAGTAGAAAAAGGACAACTGGTAGCCAATTGTGAGACGGGAGGGAAAGTTTAAAAAATACCAAATAGAGTTCAACTTTATTTTACCGAGCGTTCACTCACTTTGAAAACAAGATGAAACCTGAAACTTATCGTAGATCTAGATCTGTACAACTTATAAGTTATTGTTTGTACTGTTCTGTGTGTGTCTGGCACACCTGAGGGGGGGGATAGCGAGACGCAACGTGACAGGCTATCTGAATTCTCACCCCTGGTGAGAATCCACTTCCTTTAAGTTTAACTTTTATTAAGTCTAAGTAGACCTATATTCTAGATCTAGATCTAGATCTAGATCTAGAATCTAGATCTAGATTCTAGATCTAGATTCTAGATCTAGAGATTTTCTAGCTTCTAATGAAATTATTACACTTTTTGGGACAAACAGGGGTTGATATAATTCAAACTCCTGGACCACCATATTTTCATAATCTGGAGTTGAATCTATAGATCTATCTAGAATCATGAAAGAAAGCACCCATTACTTGCCTCCGAGTTAACGGCCAAACATTGCAATTTGCAAACAAGATGCCAGCACCGTAAGAGAAGAGTGCATCATGGGGGTTGAAGAAGAAAATTGTAGGGGATTTCCCATTTTGTTCTTGGATATTTTCCGTTTCAGACCACGTGACATATATGTATGCCCGTTTGGCCCACTTAATTGCTTTATTTAGAAACCAAGGAGGATATCCAGTCTTGGGTTAATAATATATTAAACCCAAAGCTAGTTGTAACGGGTACTTGTACTTACGTTACAATTTTCGGTACTTTTACTGTACTCCAGTACATTTTTTAGAACCAGTACTTTTACTGTACTCCGATACTTTTTATAAAAGTACTTTTGAGTATTTTTAAAGCACATTTTGAGTACTTTTGAAGCTTAATGAAAGGGAAAGTGCCGGAATTTATTATCATAATTTACGTGAATGTGATCACAGGCGTGTAATTGAAAATCAGTGAAAACACAAACTTCATTGTGCTCTCAGAATTCTACACTCAGTGTACAATTCATTAATTGTGGTTGACATTGTTGACACTTTTCACCGGCTAGGCCTACCATTACCTGCCATAATACGAACTAAAAATATAGTCCGGATTTACCCGTTATCTCATCTTGTTTTTCGGCAGTTCAATTGTTGTAGGTTCGTTATCATAGTTTGTTTTGATTTGATTGTTTTCTTTTTATTTATTTTTTTGTTTTGTTTTTTTGTTTCTTAAACTTAAAACCAGAACCAATATTTTACTAGTTGGGCAGTTTATGTTCAAAGGTTCGTAAGTTACAAGCACAGAATTCTACACTAAGTGTAGAATTCTGTGGTTACAAGTAAACTTTGCCATGGCAGTATCAATTGATGATCACGTAGATCTAGATTCTAGATCAGGGGTTTTCAAAGTGGGCGCTACTGCCCCCACGGGGTCGGTGGCGACAGTTTGGGGGGCGCTGTGGCGAAATTGGGCGATGGGGGGGCGGTAGTGGGCGTTAAGGGGGCGGTGTAAAATTTTCAGGAAATGTAAAATTAAAATGGTGAAGGGAAAGAAGCCACATAAAAAAATAAAAACAAAAATTGATAGCTTAGGCATAGTTTACAATACTACTTATTACTAAGGATTTTCGTACCCTACACTTTAAGCCCATAAAAAAGATTAATCCCGACAAATCTAACAAAGATCTGGCATATTTCAAAACTCTAAAGATCAATTTTCAGAATAAAAAATCTGTTAAATCGATGTTTGCAGCCGACATCGATCAAGGTGATGAAGACTTACGAGCAACTTAAAATTTATCTCTGCTAACTGCAAAGGCAGGCAAACCACGTACTGTCGGTGAGGACCTCATATTACCTGCGATAAGAGAGGTGGTCATCACAGTCCTGCACCGTGCCCCGAGCCCGTGTTGAAAGTTCTTGCCACTATAAGTGAAAATACCGTGTTCAAAAGACGTTTGGGTGGGATATCAGCAAATGTTGAGGAATAATTGTGCAAAATGCTTAAACGACATAAGTTCAGCCTTCGGTTCATAGATTAGAAGCTGAGGAAATAATGCAAGAATTGTTATTTTTGCGAAAATGTTGGAAACAGATATGTACCAAAGACGAGTCCATTTTCAAAGTGGTCCAAGAATTTTTCTAGCTCTGACTAATATAGTTGCCTGTGCAACAAATGGGGCACCGTAGATGACAGGTCGGTACCGTGGATTTATGAGCTTCTTGAAGAAATCAGTCCCTGAGTTTTAACTGTTCACTGTGTCATTCACAGACAGAAATTTGTGGCAAAAAACCTGAATTAAAGTGTGCATGACACACTCGCCATTGTCATCAAGTGTGTGAACAAGATCAAAGTCGACGCTTTGAACTTGAGATTATTCCAACAGCTGTGCACTGAAAATGACGAGGACTTTCAATGCTTACTTTTGCACACTGAAGTCCGGTGGCTCTCAAAAGGAAACTGTTTGACACGATTGTTTTGCTTGTTTGACTCTGTACTGGAGCTTTTTTTTAAAAAAAAAACAGACAGTGATCTCTGCAATAAACTGAAAGAACACAAGAACAACATTTCGTTCGTCACAGATCTTTTCACAAAGTTCAACCAGTTCAACTTGCAGCTGCAGGGGGATGACGCCAACCTGATCAAGGCAAAATCCATGTTTTCGTCATTCGAAATTGGAAATGTTCCACCGAAACATTGGCAGAAGAGAATTTGCTGTTTCCTAGCTTGACGGAGACACTGAAAGAAGGGCGGTGTCTGACGAGGAACTAGAAATATATACCAACCACCTCAGAGATGTGCATGCTGATATGAAGACAAGGTTTACTGAAATCTTTTAACTGGAAATTCTAGTCTGGGTACTGGACCCACTCAACACGGGAACCGATGGTTACTTGACAGTGGCAATTGAAGAAGAGCTTCTGACAATGAAAAGTGACTTTGAAATCAAACCATTGTTCAAAAAGTCGTACCAGTCTTTCTGGTTGAAAACTGTTGTGCAAGATAAATATCCCTCCCTGTGGGAAAAGATCAAGTAATTGATCATCTCTTTTACCTCCTCCTGTCTAGTAGAAAGGGGATTCAGTGCAGTGACAAGGTTGCTAGTGATGAAGCAGAAGAAAAAACTAAGGATCACAGAGCGTGGCGATTTGCGTCTGCTACTGACCAATCTGAAACCTGATGTTGATAAGTCTCACGCCCGTCCTTCCCATTAAGGCAGTGTCAAGACTTATATAATACGCTTACTCCGTAGTTCACCCTTACTTGATACCTCATGTCAATGTGTCTTTTCTTTTTTTTTTTTTGCTTTTCTTTCTTTCTTTTTTTAAAGCAAAATACTCACTTGTTTGATAGAGTTTGTTGTGTGCATGTGCTGCCACTGATGATGATGATGACGATGATTACTATGATGGTGATAATTATACAGACTAAGATCCATGCATACTTTTTCTTTCGTGTGATTTCTCACATTTGAACAGCTTAATACATGTAATATGTTTAGGTTCTACAATGGAGATATTTGATATACAAATCTCAGGCAACTTTCTTGCAGCACCTTGATGAGAAAAAACGTTTCATAAAAGTAATGTCAATCTGTTTTCAAACCAAGGATCACCGCTTTGGGGTTGTTTTTGTTTTGGTGTTTTGCTTCTGTAAATGTGCTACTACATGTTTTACTTTTATTGATGTTAATAACACTGGTCGTTTATTTACGATGACAACTATATGCATAAAATGACAGTATTTTGTTCTCAATGCCCTTGCATAACATTGAAGCAGAAAGTGTGTTTTATTATATCTCGTACACGCTTAATTTAAGACTGTAATGATGGTGATTTGTGACCCAACTAATATTCAGAACCAAACCATTAGAATTTAGGCACTTTATTTTGTACCTCTGTTTGAGCTCTCTCTCTCTCTCTCTCTCTCTCTCTCTCTCTCTCTCTCTCTCTCTCTCTCTCTCTCTCTCTCTCTCTCTCTCTCTCTTTATGTCTGATTGTTATTATATATTATGCATGTCTTTATGTCATATTGATGGTTGGGGCTGAGTAGGGGGCGCTGGGACTCGTCTGGGTAAAAAGGGGGGCGGTGGGCGAAAAAAGTTTGAAAACCACTGTTCTAGATCTATCGAGACGAGAGTGTGTCATGTCACTGTGTCTGTGTGTGTCAAGTGTGTGATTGTACGTACTCAGTCTCTAAGTGTCTTTAGTACTCTTGGTAGTTGACGGGCAGGCTAGGCCTAGTAGTAAGTGGGTGGTTGGCGGATGCTCTGGTACGTGTGGTTTGCTTCTTCTTTCCTATCAAACATCTATCTTCTTTAATCTCCCCTCCTTCTATTTTGTGTGTTACTGGCTTGTAACACCAGATGTAACACATCTGTTCTTCGTTACTTATATATATCCTTATTGTGTTGCATGTGCCGTAAAACTCTTTCTAAAACTAAAATTAGCAGTTTGATGAGTAAGCCTATATTTATGTACAACTTATACTGCCTTTTTTAAATTTTAAAACTAGATACTAGTGTAGAGTAGGTCAACTGCATCGTGATATGGGCATACTATATAAAATAGTTATAGCAGGAAAAAATGCCAACAACCAACCAACCTCGACAAATTCAAAGTGCAAAAATTGGCATGCCTTGATTTGTTACCTACAGTTTTAACTTGTGCATGTTTTAATTCATATCTTGTTTTGAATGATTATTATTAGAACTTTCCACTGCTCAATGTTCGACCCGCAAACTTAAGTGTAATTTGAATTTCAATTGACTTTGGCCCCATGAGCGACGATATTGAAATATTATTGAGATTGACACCCCTGGTGTAAGGGGCACTGCCAATAGCTTGCAAATCAGAAGGACAGGTATATAGTTCTCTGTCTCTGTGCTGGGCTTAAATTTTATGCACCTTTACATTAGTCTCTTCTTGCCAACTCCATGTTAATGTTAACTCCACGACCAGTTCAAATCATGAGTGGGAAAAACTGAATAGGCCTAGCATACGATCGGATAGCTGTTCAGAAAATCAGAGTTGCTATAATACAGACAAAATTTTCAATTCTTAAAAAATTCCAGTTTCTTTATCTGTTGTAGATTTATAACCGCATTCAAGAAAGTTTTGTCAAAATTCAAATTCTAAATGTTGAAAAAGCTATAAAAGATACATAGTTTAGGTACAGTTCAAAATATTAATTAAAGTTATTATACAGTATACATGTGTATTCTCTGGCCTGAAAAATGTTGCTTTCTGGTCTTCAAACGATTGATTACCTTGCCAATGAAAGATTTATATTCTATTATTGATAAGTGCACTGCCCTCTTTTTTTCAGATCAAATGAAACGGATGAAACTGGACAAGTCTGCTGTGTCGGCAGATGACGAGAAAAAAACAAGACTTCAAACTGGTATGTATTTCTGCTGTAGCTCTTGGTAAGTGTTTTAACTCAGTGCCTATATACCACACTTATTTTGTGGCAATACCCCAGGCACCTATAGCAGTCCCTGTGTGCTGTATTTAATTCTGTGTACACACAGAGTTTTTAATCGATGTTTGTAAACATCGCCTACTTCTAGGGAAAGTAATCTCTGCTACGGACGCTCTCGTGCCCTAGAGGTTAAGGTGTTGGCCTCTCATGATTCAAAGGTACCGGGTTCGAATCCGGGTAGCCACCGAAAAATTTTCTTCTCTAAAATTGTCTCTTTTCACCTCCTTAACCTGCTCTCTAGCATAGCAATGTCCTGTCGTCTGCTATCGTCTCTTTCTACCCCCACCCCCTCACCTCCTTTGCCCCCTCCTCTGGGCTCCTGACTCTTTCTGCAGCCTTTCTACTATTACTCCTTGCATGGCTCCTTCTTACTGCTGTCTTTCAGCCACACCCCTGATCTTTTGGTAGAAAAGATCTACACCTAGCCTTCTCGGACATGGGCGAAAAATCTCGGAGGGCCCGTGTGCAAGTTGCGCCCGTTAAAGATCCCTTGGTGGTCTAAAATCGATAAGAGTAGGCTTCGGCCGCCACCCGAGCAAAATTCAAAATTTCCTACCTGCTGAAAAAGTTTAATATGTCACGCACGCTCATATGACCTTTTATACATTTGTTAGCGCTGTAAAACACTTTTTTTTAAACCAATCTCTTCTACTATTAATATTAAAAAGTCAGGTTTATTGTAGGGGGGAGAGTGAGGCGAAGTGGGCCACCCCCTGAAGAGCCAAATGTAGAGGTCTAGTGCAATATAATTTTTAAAAACTAACAAAAATTGTTTACAGCACAAGGAAGCAACTTCCTTTCTTTTTCTAGGCGGTTTGAGTGAATGGAGTGGAAAAGACGTTTTCATTAAGAAAAAGCTGAAATACTTGATTTTTTAAATCGCAACTTTACCACAGAGAGGAGCAAAACAGATGGAGTTATTGTTGTTGTTTTCAAATCCCTTCAGCTGCGAGCATTTCCGTCTTGGCAGCGCAATCCCTCAAGTAACCACATGTCCTAGTCATCTGGTCATTGCCAGAGTAGAGCAGGCTTTGTAAGTATGGGGGTGTGTGTAGGAGCCCGCGTCAAAGAACTGCCAGGTTTGTGCAGTGAAGGAGAAGATGTTCAACGGTCTCCTCGTGGTAGTCACAGTGTCTGCAATGGAGTTCCCACATGGGGTTGATTCTGTTTATGTGCTTGTTGGTGTGTAAGTTTCCTGTGCGGGCTCTGGAGATCAATGTCTGATCGGCTCTAAATGTTGTTGTTGTTTTCAAATCCCTTTAGCTGCGAGCATTTCGCTCTTGGCAGCGCAATGCCTCCCTCAAGTAACCACAAGTCCTTGTCATCTGGTCAACGCCAGAGTAGAGAAGGCTTTGTAAGTCTGTAGGTGTGTAGGAGCTTGCGTCGAAGAACTGCCAGGTTTGGGCAGTGAAGGAGAAGATGTTCAACGGTCTCCTCGTGGTAGCCACATGGGTTGATTCTGTTTGTGTGCTTGTTGGTGTGTAGGTGTCCTGTGCGGGCTCTGAAGATCAATGTCTTATCGGCTCTACATAAAATATTCGAAGGGTCTTTGGGGTTGGGTTTGTCCATATACCCGAAGAGAGATCTTCCTGTTTCTGCGTTGACCCATCTGTTTAGCCACTCGTCTCTGCTTTTGGCTTGGATGACCCTTCTGCAGGTCTGTAAAGAGGCGGTTGTGTCTGTCTGGGGCAAGCTTGCTCCAGTCTTTGATAGATGGTCTGCAGTCTCATTCCCTGGTACTCCAGAATGGCCAGGCACCCACTGCAGTGTGACCCGGACGCCATAGGAAGTGCCCATCTGTTTTACAAGGCTGAGGATGTTCCCGTCACCTCTGTAGTCTCCTCCTCCCTCGACGGCTTGGAGTACTGACATTGAGTCAGAGAAGACAACGACATCTCCTGGTGTTACTGCGCCTTCAAAAAAGTCTTGGGTGATCTGCTCCAGGGTCTTTATTATGGCGATTCTCTCTGCTTCATAGTTAGAGCTGTATGCTCCGCATGGGTCAAATAGTTGGGTCTGCTTCTTCTCTCCAAGGTTGCTTCGATATTCAATGGTAGATCCGTATCCAGCATTCCGTGTAGCGTTTGTTGCTGACCCATCTGTGTATGCATGAATTGGAGTTTCAGCATACGAGTCCACTGTCTCCAGGGCGCTAGTTCTGAGGATTTCTTCTGGTGTGGTCTTGTCACAAGAAGGGTCTAGAAGTCTCGTCCTTATTGTGATTTCTGATGTCTGCCAACATGCAGGTTCGCTGCTGATGTTGGTGATTGGTTCTCTGTTCTTGGGTGGGTCGAACTCCTCAAGTAGTTTTGTTGCTTCTCGCATAAAGGAGGTCTTCTGGGTGCGTGTTCTTGGTTCCCACTCATCTGCCATTTTCCTGTTTTCGTTCGTGTCTTCTAGCCGCACATATTTTTCATAGGTTTCGAGTGTAGCACTCTTTCTTCTGAGGTCCAGCGGTTCTATGTTGGTGTGGATTTCGCAGGCGCTTGTAGGCGTGGTCTTCATCGCGCCAGAAACAAATCTGAGTGCTTGGTTCTGTACTCTGTCAAGCTGTGCCAGGGAGCTTTGGCTGGCTATCTGTACTCTGTCAAGCTGTGCCAGGGAGCTTTGGCTGGCTATCTGTACTCTGTCAAGCTGTGCCAGGGAGCTTTGGCTGGCTATGGATTGTAGTGGTAGGGAGTAGTCAATCACAGATCTGACATACCCTATATAAATTTGTCGGAGGGTTGCTTTGTCAGCTCCCCGGTTGTGTGATGAAAGGTGTTTCAGGAGGTTTAGTCTGGAGGTGGCTTTCTTGGTCAGCTCCCCTAAGTGCTCTTTGAGAGACAGCCTTTGGTCCAGTTGTACACCAAGATACTTGGGATAGTCCTCATGTCTGATGGTGGTTCCATTGATCTTAAGGTTTACTTTACTTGCTGTTACTTTGTTTTTGAGGCTGAAGAGTCCAGAGACAGTCTTGTCTGTGTTGATCTCCATCTTCCATAGCTGGTTGTAGGACGAGATAGTAGTCAGGTCTGCGTTGATGATTTGGTTCAGTGCTCTCATGTCACTTCCTTTGTTCCAGATGAGTAAGTCGTCAGCGTAGAGTGTTTTCTGGCAGGAGATGACATCTGGCAAGTCGTTCATGAGCAACAGGAAAAGGGTACAGCTGAGTGCTGACCCCTGTGGGAGGCCTTCCTCGACTGTCCTCTGTGAAGAAATCTTGCTGTCACATGACGTCTGGATAGTTTTGCAAGACAGAAAGTTCTTGATCCAGCTGTATATCCTTCCTGCTATCCCAAGCTTTTGCATTTTGTAGAACAGTCCCTGTCTCCACACACAGTCATACGCCTGCCTCGGGTCAGTGAAGACGGCCACAACATTGTCTTTATCTTGAACGGCATCGCTGTTCTTCTGGGCAAATCTGATGAGGTGGTCCATAGTTCTTTTGCCTTTCCTGAATCCTGCCTGTGATGTGCTGATAGCTCCGGTGTTTTCCATCCACCAGTACAGTCTGTCGTTGACCATTCTCTCGACGACCTTACTCAGGCATGATGTTAAAGAGATTGGTCTGTAGCTTGAAGGCTGGCTTGCTGGTTTGTCCTTCTTTAGTATCGGTGTGATGTTTGCTTTCTTCCATTCTGTTGGGAGCTGTCCCTCATTCCAGGTCCTGTTGAAGAAGTCCAGGAGTATGGAGATGGAAGAGTCTGTCAGGTTGAGGATCATCTCTTTGGTGACGTGGTCTGGTCCTGGGGCCTTTCTCTGTTTACACTTTTTGAGGGCTGCCTTCAATTCCGTCAGAGTAAACTCCTTCTCAAACACCTCCAGGTTTGCCTTGGGGTCTGTTCTGCCCTTTTGGTCAGCTACTTTATTGTGTGGATCAGTTTGTTCTTGTTTCCTTTCTTGTTGATGCTAGAAAAGTATTTGTTCATAACCTCAGCTCTGCATGTTTCTCCTTTCTCAGTTGGTTTCATTGTGGCGGGGTTTTTCCTTCTTTTTGTACCTGAGAGATTGGTAAGCGGGTTCCAGGCTTTCCTCCTGTCCTTACGCAGGTCTAGTTCTCCATTGTGTTCTCTCCTTGTTTGTCTTTTCGTACTTTTGGTCTTCAGCTTTACCTTGGCTGTCAGGTAGTTAGTGTGCTTTCTGTTTTCGGTTGTTGGGTTCATCTCAGCGCGCCGTCTAGCTTTCTTCCTGGCCTTTGTCAGTTGTTCCAGTTCTTTATCCCAATAAGGGCGGAACTTCTTAAGGTTCCCTCTTGGAATCACTTCCTTATCAGATGTCTTTAGTGCTGTGGTGATGTCCTTGTAGCACTCATCAATTGGATTGGTCGTGCTTACATCCAGGAGTCTACTTTCGGATTTCTGTTGGTAGAGCTCCCAGTTTGCTTTCTTGTTGTTTCAACTGTGTCTTATGGGGTTGGTCGGTTCTCATTTCCTGTTTCTGGGTATTTGCAGTAGGATTGGGCGGTGGTCACTTCCTATGTCATCTAGGACAGTCATAGAGCAGTGCGGGTGAAGGTCAACAGAGACCAAGGTCAAGTCTGGTCTGCTGAGAGTTCCGCTGGCTCTATGAAGTAGGGTGGGAGGTGTCTTGTCATTCTGGAGTGAAATGAGGTTGCTTGATCTCAGTAGTTCTTCTAGAACTGTTCCTGTTGATTCTGTATCACTGTAACGCCACAGTGGAGAGTGTCCATTGAAATCTCCCGCAAGAACGGTATGTTTGTGTCTGTATTCGGGAAGTTGAGCTGGAGAGTAGATCTCGGTGGGCAGTATACATTGTAGAAAGTGTAGGTTGTTCCATCCGACTGCTACACATTCACTTCCTGCATGTCAGTCTCGTCATCGGTTTCTGGGTGACAAACCTCATCGGTGATGTCATTCCGAATGAGGGTTGCGATGCCTTTACATTTGGTGCACTTGCAGTGCTACATTGTGTGGCCTGTCAAATGGAGTACTATCCGCTTGGGTAGTTGGGTTTCCTGTAGCAGGGCTACGTGAATTCTTAAGTCTGACAGTGTCTTTGCAAGCTCCATTTTCTTGTTCTGTATTGATGAGATGTTCAGTTGGAGTATATTCAATGCCTGTGTGTCTGTGGGTCGGGGAGTCTGTAGTGTCTGTGTGTTGCTTGTGGCCCCTATACCTGCAGTGTGGGTCCCAGTAGCTGACTTGTCATTCCCGCCCCCGGGTGAAGGCAGAGAGCGCGGACCTTGATAACCGAGGTGACATCCGAGCTCGTATAGTTTCATTTGTCGTAGAGGCATTTTATTGGTTTGGGGGTTATGAAGGCTTGTATGCATCCCTGTAGGATCTCAGGTAGGTGGTAGTCTTGTCCTGACACTGGCTTGTGCCCAAACATCTTGCCACAAGAGAACAAAGGTGCAATGTTCACTGTCCTGTTTTCCATCAACCTTCAAGGGGATTTCTTAGACAGTAGACAACCGTAGGGGGTGTAGGCACACTCTAGTTCTGGGAGATGGGAGCCACAGAGTGCAACCAATGACAAGGGATCATCTGAGCAGTCCAGTAAGGGGTCCCATTGAGTAAGGGGTAACGCGTTCCTTCCACAGTGAGCCGTCTACATCACCAAGCGTAGCTTGCGTTTGCCAAATCCTCGCCACCTGCTGTCTCCTGGCTATCTGCTATTAACATTTCCGTTCATGAGGCAGAATAATTCGAGGGATGGCCGAATCTACTTAGAGGATCGTCACGTCATGGGTCAGCGAGCATTTGCCAGGATTTCTGTAGGGGCGTCATCTGTTTCCAGGCAGCCTATTTCTTACAGCTACAAGGCTTTCTGGTTCTGCGGAGACGTCTCACGATGAGTCATCTGGCAGTCTGTGGGTACCATGCCCCGTCTGTAGAGCTCCCACGAGAGGGAGGGAAGAAGATGTCGACAGTGAGTTCCTGAATGAACAGGTTGGCCTGTTGTGACGCCAGACCTACCATAATGGTGGATGTGTACGGACCTATACGCTCTTATACTATCTGACCGTCTAGGTACGGACCCTTCTACGAGCCAAAAGGTCGTTGCTCACTTCGCACCTCACAGGACTATGGCACCTCCTGGCCAGAGCTCCGTCTGCAACCCCTGCTCCTATGCACAGAGCAGGGGTCCCCAGGCTGCTCGACAAAGACGGGGAGTTGACATGCGTACGGCATTGCTCGCACTACCCTTCATCACAATGTGAAGAAAGCTCTTCAAGGTGATGTTGAATTGTGTCCAAACTATCGTCACAGACAAGTATTCACAGAAGACCAGAAGGCTTAATTGACGCAGTACATGCTGAAATGTGCCAAAAGATCCTATGGTTTGACTACTGCTAACTGCAGAAAACTCATATCTATGAAGTCGCTGTTGCAAATCTCCTAAGACCTTTCGTAGGCCTACCCATCTTCGAGGGGTGATGCAATATGTGCCGGAAAGGAGTGGCACATGGGCTTTCTTTGGAGACCTCCGCAACTCAGTTTGCGACAACCAATGGCTACCCCATTGGCAAGGGCCACAGCTTTCAACTGACATTCTGTGGGAACATTTTTCAACTTGCTGCAGGCTCTTTCTAGATAGTGACCTGGGTGTCTCTGATACTCAATCTTGACGAAACATTTTGTTCTTTGTTGTTTTTTTTCGTTTTTGAATTATTTCGTTTTTTCCAAAAATCCTCCCTCGGTGGCCCACTTCTCCCCACTCTCCCCTAATGATAAACGTACTCAGTGTGTATACTGTGTTGTTTTTTGTTGGGGTTTTTTTTTGTTGGTTTTACAGCGCTCGCAACTGCATAAGGTCATATGAGCGCGCGGGACACATTAACATTAAATACATTGTATTTTCAGTTGGTAAGAAATTTTTAATTTTTCCCGAGTGGCGACCGAAGCCTACTCTTATCGATTTTAGACCGGCAAGGGATCTTAAACGTGCACAACTTGCACACGAGACCTAAGAGACTTTGTCGTCCTTGTCCGATAAGGCTAGGTGCAGATCTTTACTACCAGAAGATCAGGGGTGTGACTGAAAGACAACAGTAAGAAGGAACCAAGGAGAAGCAGTAGAAAGGCTACAGAAAGAGTCAGGGGCCCAGAGGAGGGGGCAAAGGAGGTGAAAGGGTGGGGGCTGAAAGTAGAGACAAAAGCAGACAACAGAACATTGGTAGAGAGCAGGAAAGGAGGTGAAAGTAGACAATTTTTAGAGAGAAGAAAATGTTTCAGTCGCTTCCCGGTTTCGAACCCGGGACCTTTGGATGAGAGGCGAACTCCTTAACCTCTAGACCACGAGAGCCCCCTCTTGTACTTTGAGTATTTATAATATATGTGCAGTTAAAGTTGCTCCGGCAACCACTCGTCCAAGACACCCGCCTGTACGCCCTACAAATGACCACATCCCACTTCTTCCCTTGCGTTTTTCTATAGCCTTTTATTATTATAAGGACACTGTCCAAGAGGACCACCTGTCTAAAATGATCACTTTTCTTCTCAACAGAGGATGATATCATCTTGGACAGTTTGGAAAGTAAATTAAACATGGGAATTGTCAATGATAGTGAACCACAAGATTCTCCAGTCCTTTTTTTGTGTGTAAAGTATCCTCAATGAATAAGATGTTTCCATTGGATTCGACAAAACCATTTTGTTTCATTTCTCAAAAATAAGTTGTTTTAGAATTATTATTACCGCTACATTTTGTAGACAAGATATTGCACTTTCTAAATTACTTTCAGAAGCAAAATAATGATACATGTATAAATGTGGCAAAGGGCATTTTGAGGACATATTATATTTAGTATCTCCAACAGAGCAGTGAACCGACTTTCTGCTTTACTATTTTTTGCTTTGAAGTAAACGTTTATCTTGGAAGCATGATCTTCAAGTGACAGATTGTTTGGTGCAAGAGATATGACACTTCATCTCATACATGAACATGGAAATAGGCTATACCTACCGCAAGTGAATTCTAATAACCTTATGAAAAATACTAAGTGTGCGTATGCAGGATGTCAGCTCAGCTAAGTTTGTATGAATGGTACATGTATAAGTTAAATGAAAAGAAACCAGCCATAGCGGTGTATGAGTTTAAGAAAGTCGCCCAAATATAAATACCCGAGACACTTTTTTCAAATACCTGTATATAACCTATTCTTACAAAGTTAACATGTTGTGTTCTTTCCCCAGCCTCACAGTGCCCCACAGGCTGTATTGAAGTGGAAACAGACATAGACCCTGGATTAGAGGTAATTACACTAGACGAGCTGACCATAGAATGTGAGAAAAACAAAAGTCATAAATCTTTCATCCCAATCGACAAGTTCAGCCGTTTGGATCTTCTGTCTCGCTACCAAGATGAGGTCACTGAACAAGCTGTTAAAGTCCTGGCTGACCTCACGGTACAGGTGACAGCTGCATGGGTCAGTGAAGACCGACCAGAAAAATACCCATCCGGAGAAGCTGAGTACCCGTACGTAAAGGAACGAGGTGGGACGATGCTGAGGAAAGGGAGTGGCTATGTGCAGAAGGTTGTCACGTATGGTAAAGGCAGTGGGATGAAAGATCCTTGTGAGTGTAGAGAGTGTCGTTACTCTAGCTCCGCGCGTGATGTGTGGTGGGAAGTGGAAGTGGTATCAGCCCGGCACATCATTTATGACCACACGGAGGCCAGAGGAGCCAACATAGACTTGTTTTACGATGGCAGTACCGGAATCGGGAGAAAGGAGAGAAAAAAAATGAAAGGTTACAATAGTATGTGGGGGTCCAGCGTAGACGGGGACCGCTGTGTGCTGTTCTGCCCAACACACGATGAGCAGCTGGCACACACTCTAAAGGACTTGTGTAAGACAGCAGACCGGCTGGTCAGGGAGGCCAACAGTCGACATCAGCACCAGGTGGGCCCGCACATGGCGGTTGTTGTGTCTCACCCTCATGGCTGCCAGAAGTACATCACGGTAGGGGAAAGCACCACAACGGACAAGCTCGACGAGGAAGGCCGGCAGACATACACATACACAGCTGATACTTGTAGGGGCAGCAGCGGCGGTTTGGTTTGGGTGGTTGGCAGGTGGGAGTTGACCAGCTATGTGACTGCACCCCACAGCAGGGTACTGGACAAGAGGAATAACAAAAGCGGAGACCGATGGCTTGCCCGTCTCATTTGGACTAATAATAGGTTCAAATACACATGAAGATGTGTACGGATAGATGACTTGCCCCATCTCATGTAAAGTAGTAGGTTCGAACCTGTACTTGAGGATATTTACAGATATACAGCTATTACCCCATTTCATGTGAAGTAATAGGTTCAAATATATACACATGAAGATTTATGTACCGATAGACAGCTTGCCACATCTCATGTAAAATAGTAAGTTCAAACATATGTACCTATAGATATGTACAGATATAGCTTGCCTCATCTCATGTAGAGTAGTAGGTTCAAACATACACAAAGGGGGCTCTTGTGGTCTAGAGGTTAAAGTGTTCGCCTCTCATTCAAAGGTCCCGCGTTCGAATCCGAGTAGCGACCGAAATATTTTCTTCTCTAAAATTGTCTTCTTTCACCTCCTTTCCTGCTTTCAATGTTCGGTCGTCTGCTTTCATCTCCACTTTCTACCCCCACCCACTCACCTCCTTTACCCCCTCCTCTTGACTCCTGACTCTTTCTACTTTCTGCAGCCTTACACAACTTCTACTCCTTGGCTCCTTACTGCTGTCTTTCAGCCACACCCGTGATCTTCTGGTAGGAAAGATCTACACCTAGCCGTCTCGGGCTAGGGCGAAAATCTCGGAGGTCCCGTGTGCAAGTTGCGCACGTTAAAGATTCCTTGGTGGTCTAAAATCGATAAGATCAGAGTAGGCTTCGGCCGCCACCCAAGCAAAATTAAACATTTCTTTCTCTCTTGAAAATGTTTAATGTGTCCCGCCCGCTCATATGACCTTATGCAGTTGCGAGCGCCGTAAAACACTTACCAAAAGAAAGAAAAAAGGTAAAGTAGTAGGTTCAAATATAGTATGTTACATGATGAAGATATTCTTACCCCATTTCATGTGGAGTAATAGGTTCAAACATACACATGAAGATTTATATACAGATACACGGCTTGCCCCATCTCATGTGAAATAGTAAGTTCAAACATAATATTATGTACCTATAGATATGTACAGATATACAGCTTGCCTCGTCTAACGTAGAGTAGTAGGTTCAAACATACTCAAAAACCCCCGGGGCGATGCAACTGACTGTAGTGTCTTTAGGCCATTCCAAAGGGG